TATTAGTATATCACTAATATAATATATTAATATATTATTATTATTATTTTATTATATATTATAATTTAAAAAATTAAATTTTTTTTAAATATCATAAATTTAATATATATAATTATTTTAAATTATTTATATTTCGAACAATAACGATTTGAACACGAACGAACGCATCACTGTTCGTGTTTGGTTCGTTTAACTAACCGAACGAAAAAAAATTTGTTCACATTCGTCTCATTTACTCATTGAACGAATTGTGCACGAAGTCATCAACAAATCGAACACGAAGAACGAGTTTTCTTTGACAGTCATAACCTGATGTATAAAAAAAGAAGGCACTGTTTGTAAAATAATATCTAAATGACGTAGGAAATTTAAATAAAAATTAAATGTGGACTAAATTTATAATTTTTATATAGTTTAGTACGACATCAAACAGCGGGACTGTACCTCTCCCCTTTCTCTTTCTCTTTCTATCTCATTCTATTAATTTAAGAAAAAAAAATAATGAGATTTCACTCTCAGAAGTAATACAGCGGCACATGCATGAGAGAGAATTTAGAGGGACCTACGGAAAAGTACTGCCGTATTGTTTATGCGGGTCTCTGGTCTCCGTCAAAAATCCAACGGCCAGATGTACGGATAGCTGATCTGATCGGACGGCTCATAGTAAGGGCTGTCAAAAAGCTCATTGTTCGCGGCAGTTCGTGCTCGATTCGTCAATGAGTTCGTGTTCGATTCGTTCAATAAATAAAAGAGATGAACGTCAATAAATTTTTTTCGTTCGATTAGTTAAACGAACCAAACACGAACAGTGATGCGTTCGTTCGTATTCGAATCGTTATTGTTCCAAATATAAAATAATTTAAAATAATTATATATATATATATATATATATATATTTTGTGATGTTTTAAAATATTAAATTTTATAAATTAATAATATTAATATATTAACATGCTATATTAGTAATATACTAATATAGATATTATATATTTATATAATATAAGTTATATAATTAATATAGTATATTATTTCTATATATTAATATTATGGATGTCAAACTGGCTTGCTGTTCGCGAACAACTCGTGCTCGGCTCGTTCATTAAGAAACGAACGCGAACAGTGACTTCACGAACAATTTCGAACACGAGTTTATTTCAAACAAACTAAATTTCAAACGAACCGAAAATGAACATAAGCTATATTCGTTCGATTCGTTTACACCCCTATTCATAGCTATGAATCCAATCTCCACTCATTGTAATCTTTACTCATCTTATACAGTTTGTGGGAGGTTTTGCAGAGATGACATTCAATTTTTATGTAATTTGTATATCAGAAATTCAATTTTTCATTTTTAGTAATATGATATTTTATTGTCTCAGTCAGATAAAGTTATATGCATTAAAATGGTTTATTTCATTTTTAAATAGTTAATATTAATAATTTAATGTGACTTAAGGATTTAATTGTTATACCAATAAATATAAAAATTTTAGATATATAATTACAGACGAATTTTATGGTGTGTAATGTAAAACTCCCGAGCTTACGAATAGGCATTCGCCTAAAGATACAAATGAGTTGAGCAGAGTTTGAATCATGCCAAGCTTAAGCTCGACTCATCTGGCAACTATGAATTCGAGTCATGCTGACTCGAATGACGAGCTCAAACTCACGCGTACTAATAGCGTCTGCCTCACGGAGCGCTTATTCTATCAGGACATAAGATGTAAATTGACGTCCAGAGTCCAGTGGGCTTCACTGTAATACACTGGTTGTGTAGGTTTTTAAGAGAGATAGGCCCACTTACAACGTGACACATGATCACGGAACTCCAGACATAAATTTTACGTTGAGTGTACTGATGGAATAATTTTTCCTGCTCACGGGCCCGAACTAAATCTATCATGTAAAATTTTGATTAAAAATTGCTACTTAGCCAATAAACATTACCGCACATAAAAATACATCCATTCCATATGTTCCTCCCTCGCGCATAATAACTTCGCTTTAACTCGAGTACCCCACGGCGCTCAAGCCTTCTGCTCTTCTAACCCCCACCATCACGTGCTTCTACTTCATCTCCTCTCTATAAAACCCCACCAAATCTCCCAACTCTTCCCACAACTCTTCCTCCTCTCCTCCTCCTCTGCTTCTCCTTCCAAAAATGGCTCTTTTGAAGTCACACAAGCTTCCCCCAGCCACAACTCTCAGGCAAATACTGAAGAGATGCTCCAGCCTAGGAAAAAAAGAAACCATCCGCAATCTTCCCGTCGATGTTCCAAAGGGTCACTTCGCCGTCTATGTCGGCGAGAAGCGCCGCCGCTTCATCGTCCCCATCTCGGTCCTAACGCACCCGGAGTTTCGGAGCCTTCTCCAGCTTGCAGAGGAAGAGTTTGGATTTGATCATGACATGGGTCTTACAATTCCTTGCGAGGAAGTTGTTTTCTGTGCTCTAACTTCGTCGCTAATGTGAGGATGTCGAATTCATATGTATGATGATGTATAATATATGTATAATTATATAAGGAGTTCGCATGCATATGAATTCCGTAGGTAAATATTTTATTGGGAGAGAGCAGAGTTGCCTTCTGTTTCTAAGCTGTTTTTGCTCTGCTTTAGCCTTAATTCTCCTCTGTTCTTCTTCTTCTTCTTCTTTGTCTGTATTGCCGTGATATTTTTTCTTAATTATTTGGGCTGTTTAGTGATGTGGATTGTGTAGGATTAACGACCAGCGTGTATGCGGTGGCGCCGCCTTGTAACATGTAAATGCTGGCTCTCTTTCGAGTTCTGAAGTCCGGTGGGTGCAAGTTGCAATTTTTCTAATTTACAAGCATATCACATAATTCTAATTTATTTACATTTTTAAGACTTTGGTGGGATAAAGTTACATATGAAAAATGGTATTTGGCGTTTACTAAAGAAGTAATTGTGATATTTTTTTGATATGATGTTAAAGATATGAGTGGTATGTATATGAATATGAAAAGTTTAGTTGTTATATTAGTAAATAGAAAAAAGTTATATGGTGTGTAAGTAAATGCCTCATTTTTTTAATGGTTTTTATTTTATATTAATATATATTAATTTTTCTTATAATTTGCATTTTTTGGGGGCAATTTGAGGATAATATTAGAAATTTCATCCAAAAGAAAGAAAGGACAGATTTGTTGGATGGGACAGTGAATGGTATGATGAAGAAAGAAGCCCTTTCTCCCAAATTGAGATTATGTTTTTTGATGAATCAAATTAGTTTCCTACTTAGCATAATGACCTTTGATAGGTAAGGCATACAAAATTAGGAGCGGTTATTGCGTCTCGCGTGCGCCGTCCAATGAAATTAAAAAAAAAAAAAAATTAAAAGTGGGTCCACTGACATACACCTTTTGGTAAAGAATGGGTTTTTATTGGCGCACCGCACGCATCTCTGCGTGCGGTGGGCGGACGCAATAATTTTTCCAAAATTAGAGGCATCTACATACCACCCACTTCCCATGTATTTACATATCTAACACCTAAAAACATTTATACCTCTCAAATTTTTCAAATCACATCAAAAATATCACCATTTTAAAATTTAAAATTGTGAAATAAACCCTTTCATGAATAGTTAAGGTTATATATATATATATTTTATATATTATATATATACCATATATATATAAAATTGAAGTTTAAGTTCTAGATATGTAGATACATATGAATTGAGTGGTATGTATGTAAATCGTTCGCAAAATAAATAGGGGCATTAACATAGGCAGGAAACAATTCTTATGCATTTACATATCTCACACATACACTTTTATATTTGCACACATAACACTCAAATCTTTAATATCAGATAAAAAATAGCACTACTGCTAATTTTTAAAATTGAAGTACACTTTTTCGTGCATAAGTTTAAAGCACCAAAGTGTTATGTATGAAAGTATGAAGTGTAAGTGTGAGATATATAAATAAATAAGAATTGTGTTATGTATGTATATTTCTGAGATAAATGTTGATAAAGATAGTTGAAAGGACGAGATTTTCCAAAAGTAAGAACTAACCAAAAATAAAATTAATCATTAATTATTATTTAGTTATGAATTTGTTGAACTCAAGTTTGTCCGTGAATTACAACCAAGACATAGAGTGTAGATAAAAAGAGAAGAAGTGAGAGAGAGAGAGAGCTAAGAATCTTAAGAGTATAGTATCAGTAATATCTATGTGTTTCTCTAAAAGTCCCCTTTTTACATGTTAATATTCTTATATTTATAGTGGATAGAAGTTACATTGTGAAATATTGATAATGTTCTTGAAATTCTCTTTTATCGGTCGGCTGTCACAACTGTCAAGATAAACATTATTATGGTTTAATAGTTACTTATCGGATCTCAATTTCACTCTCTCCTAGGTCAACGAGTTGTTTGTCCATTTATTCGGTCAACCTTTTCAGCTCGGTTAACTTGATCTTCTACTCCATGCTGATTGATATGCATTAGCACTTGACATGATTAATCTTTTGACACGTGTCTTTTCGTGAATTGCTTGATTTAATTTAGTGTACTTTGATCATACATATTTTGGTTCTCTCATGCATTAATAGGCAGCAATATGCGATAAGAACGTAAGAATTAATTTTAACAACAGTTTTGTCTTATTAAATACCTTCATTGATTAATACCTCCTTGACTATTGTGCACATACTGCTTCTAAATAGAGGGTAATCTTTCTAATTTTTCATATTTCATGTTTTCTCTTTGTTTCTCTTTTATATCTTGGTTGCCTTTCCAAAAAAGAAGTGTCCTCGCAATGAATAAGTTGTTGAAATCCCAATGCGCTATCCCGAGCAAACTTTTGTTGCGTGGGTTGTTTGCCGAGGAGAAGAGTAAGGGACACCATGAGAGAGACCGAAAGAGAAAACTCATGGAGAAAAAGAGGACGGATTTGCCTTGGGTCAGGTTGGCTCTTCTAAAATGGTCCTTGAGAGTGCTCATATTTAGCCATGGATACTCTACGAGCTACAGTGATCTTGCAATTACCTGGTAGGGCACCACCGCGCCTCTCGTTGCAGCCCTGAGTTTGGTTGGGGATCGGATATCACCAGTGCCCGTTGATCCCTCTCTGTTGTAGCAACTTCATCCACAGGAGTCGCCAGTGTCTAGCATGATTAGAGCCACGAGCATCTACTAATTCTTAGTCGAAATAGATTTTGTTGCAGGTTACCGATTCATTCATTGTCACAGGTATTACAAATTATAAGACCCAATAGGGTTTGAATGGAGATCCTGTGACATAGGATGAGATTGGGGTTCATACCTAGGAAGATAATCAGCCCATCGAAGAAGGTAGTGAAGTCGAATGCTTCGGGAATCTCTCGTTTCCTACCAAGATACAAGAGTGATAAGTGTGAGCTACCCAAACGTATCATGTGGAATTAGCTCACGGCTTGGCTAATATTTAGAGCTATAAGCTCATGATGTTGGTTTCCAGGGAGGTCCAGAGATGTATGTCATGTCATCCTGCATGACATGACTTGAAGAGGAGATTTCAACGATGAAGCAGATGGTGTTTATTCTTCAACGGGAGCAAATAAATTTGTGAGGGCTATTACGAACCCTCCAAGCCCATATTGAATTTGATAAACTAGGACAATTTTGGTTGGGAGTTGAATTTTTTTTCGGATGTTGGTTCGATTGGGCCATGTCTCAGCAGAAGCAAATTCAAATTCATGTATAAGTTACTTTCTCTTTCACCATTGATTCAGAGTCTTGTAATGATTTTGTATAATAATGTATTAAATTTTATTTTTAGGCAAAATGATATTTTCTATTGATTTTTGTCCTAGCCTTTTCTAATTGGGTTTTCTATGTGGTTAATGTCAGTTTTACCCAGTGATGATTGGCATTAACTTTGACCTTATAAAGTAGTGTCATAGCTGTAGATTCACTTTTTTCTTAGCTTTGGTCATTTCTTAAGTTTTCATCTCCTTCAATCAAGTCATGGCTTCTTATTGCCAAGATGCGGCTTCTCGCATTACATGTTAATCCTCTTGTGACTTCATGATGACTCTATCTACTCATTTGGGGATTTTTCATAAGAATTTTGAAATTTCTTAAGTTGTGATCGAATACAACATCAATGAATAGTATATCACCCTTAGGGATGAATATACTACCCTATGATAGATTCAATTCTAAAGTCATTATTTCACTACTCATGGTGCTATGAAAATAAGTTTTTTTTCTATCATAAAAGAGCATGGTTTATTTTAATTTTGATGCCTCGTATCCATAAAGAGTTAACTCCTTTTAGTTAATTGGATCTTATAAAAAAATATTTTCTAATAAAACTCTCGATTAAAATAGTGGTTAATCATTTATAAATATTATAAATCACCAGGAAAGAGAAATTTGTCAACATTAATCAAGAAATCATTTATCACTGCCCTAGGATAGATTAAAAATTTGTCAACTAACTGTGGAGTTAAGGTGATCAGCTAGGCTTCTCCTAATCCTAGCCTTTTGCAGATGGATATGGCATAAGGTTGATGTTAACTCCTAAGTCACAAAGAGCCTTCCTAAAAAATTTGTCTTCTATGACACAAGGAATGATAAAGCTATCTTGGTCCTTAAGTTTCTATAGTAATTTTTTCTACAAGATAGCGCTACATTACTGGGTTTGGGCAACGGTCTCAAAATCTCCTAGTTTTTTTCTTCTTATTTAGAACATCATTCACGAACTTCACATAACTAGGCATCTGTGTTGTGGCTTCAGTAAAATAATGTTGATGGTGAGCTTCTTAAGAATCTCTAGACACTTATAAAATTGTGGATCTAGCTTTTATTTTTGCAGTTCTATAGGAGGCATTGGTCTCTCTTATACTTTTTCGGTAAGTGAGTCTGTTTTTTCTAAGTCCTTGGTTGGGCTTTCATTGTGTTTTTCAAATTTAGGATCTAATTCTATAAGACTACTCATCTTCCTAAGTATGTCTTCCAACTCCTTCCCACTTCTAAGTCTCACAACTTGTAATTTCTTCTTTCTTTTCTTCTTGGGATTCACTTTAGTGTTACTAAGAAGCATCCCTAAAGGTTAATTACTTAAACAATTATAAAATTGTTTGATATGGATTTTTTATGTTTTTTATGGATGAAAATTAACTTTATAACTAGTTTCTTATCTGGAGAATTATCTCCTCCAAGGATGATTTCTTCTCCTTAAATTGAGAATTAAAAGTGCTTCCCGATGAGTAGGGATTTTTCGGGTTGTTATTGTCTTTGGCAATCCAATTTATTGGATTTGTTGTTTCCCTACTAAATATTCTACACCTGGGACATTAGCATTCTAGTTGAAATTTGGTTTGTTCTTTAAGCCCGGTTGTAGGTATTAGAATCAATATTGTTGAATCTATTTTCTACGACATTCAAGGTCTCCATAGTAGCTGTTTTAGGATCTTCTACTTGTTTGTAGGCTATCTCCTCTGTATATAGGGATCCTAACACTAATTTCATCTCTAAGTTATCTAATTTCCTAGAAATGACAACAACTTGGGAGGCTAGAATAATCTAAACACCAGTCTCATGCACATTAACTATCATCTTTGGTATGACTCTCTCAGATGACCATTGGAAATTGTTGTTGTCATTTTCTCGATCAGTGAGTAGGCTTTATCAAATAGTTTTGACTTAACAGGCTCCGTAAATGTAGCGTTTATGATAGAAATTACAAATATCATTATCTCAATATAAAAGGTTTGAATGATCAGTTAATCAGGTAAGGTATGATGTGACAATTTTTTAAGTAGTTCTTTGAATCTCTTCCAAGCTTTGTAAATGGACTCTCCATTTA